CTTTATACATCGTAAAACAACAATGAGTTATTGGTTTTTGAACTATGTAAATCACACAAGATTTTACCGAGGTTATCTACATTCATTGAGTTCGTGCTTATGTATATTTAGCTTCTTTACGATTTAGTTTGATTGTTGTTAGTGCAGTTATGATCATTGTACCGTCGAGATGCGCGTGTATGAACCCGGACCCTCCAATAAACCAAATCATTACTCATGAATGTTATCGAATAGTAATCTGTCCCTCGCACGCTCAGAACGTGGGAGGAGAACACGAGAACATGCAATTTCAGAGGTCCGTCAAATATCCTATTGAGTGATTTGATTTTAAGCCCGAAATGGAATTACATGGTTATTGAACTGTGGGGGGGGGGGGGGGGGCTTATGTGTTCATACTCAGCTAGCCCTCGGGATGTGAAAATCGAAGACGGGGGAAGGACAGGGAACATGTCCGAACATTCGATACCGTGACAAATTCTGTCGGACAGCCCTGTTAAAATCCGCCTGGTGCAGATTTTTGTCTTCTTCTTCGAACGAACGATAATTTAAAATTTAGTGTTTCCCAATTTTAAACACTTTAAAGTCAATTAGATCTCCGATACATGTAATTGATCATTATCGACGTTAGATGTTATTAGTCTTTCAAAACTAATGCTCTCCTATCATTGCTTTTTAATGTCATAACTAATGCCCTCCTCTACGTGTGTGCAACTTTTAATGATGTGCTAATAAACCATTTCAAACTTAAGTTTAAATTCAAAATGTCTCCGTTCGAGGACTGTACCCCCATGTGTACACAAGCAGAATAATTGAAATTTGGCTGAACCCATTTAGTGGCCCAGACCTCTTAAAAATGAGCCTTGGGCAACTGTAACATTGTAGGCCTATCTCTAGTTCCGCCACAGCCAGTGGCGCACGCAAGGGGAGGGGGCTCGGGGGTATTGAGCCCCACTCAAGGGGTTCTTGAGCCCCCCTCAATGAGTTCTCAATTTTTGTTGGGGGTAAATTTTTAGTCCCACGATTTGATAGTGGTGATATGTACGTGGCCTATTTTCGAGTAGTAATAGGGGTGTAAATGGCGCCACCAACGTCAAAATAGTCCGTCCCCCCAAAAACCTCAATTATTTTTCTGCGGCCAAAAATGTTGGGCAACATTTTTTGAAAAAGATCAAAGTCCTAAAAAAAAAATACACCTGCAACGAAGTTCTTGTTTGTCTTCGGGACATAAACATTGGCAAACATTGTTTGTTATTTGGTAACTTTTTTGTTAGCTAAGCACCACCTCTCCTTATGTCACATATGCTCAGAATTTGGATAGGGGACACTTGTATCACTTGAAACTAAAATTTAATGAGCCCCCAAATGCCCCTGCAAATTTTGGACCTCATCACGCTATGCTGTTTTAGAAAATCATTGATAGAGTTTTACGAATTACCTCCTGAAGGTTATTAGCTGGAGGGCGCTCTTTAAATGCATTAGTCAGAGTCTGGCCCTAGTTAAACATCATTCGCTGGCATATTGCCATGGTGACGACTGACGATTTCGTGCTTATTTGGTTAAATTTATTTTTCGCATGTCTTATTTAATTCCTACGTTTGGTTTTTTGAGGCAATATGCTTTTTTTTCTTATAAAGGGGAAATCGGAACACAGGTAACTAGGTGTCATTTACCGGGCCCTGACAATGTCTGGGTTATCTTACGGTGGCTAAGAACGGAAATTTATTTCACAGATCACACTGAAGAGATACATGTAGTACAATCCATGAAGGATTTTAATAGCTTTAGCTAAAAATGTCATGCTTAATGTGAAATAAATGGTAAGTGTCTTGGTTAAAAAGATATTCATAAAAAACTTCAGCTGTTAAACAGCAAGTTTAACATTGTTCCATGATACTATTATATTTCTCGATAATTCCACTGTAAAAATATAATTCTGTAATTTTACAGCAAAAGTGACAGCAGCAGTATCGCCACTCTCCAGACATCAGCTGTTTTTTTTTGGTTTCACATCAAGTGATGTGGATTCCTTTTACAATGATTTTGCACTAACGTTGTAAAATAATTTGGGTATTTTTACTAATTAGACCACGAGCAACAAATGTAACCTAATTGCGACAACATAATTTTGCCTCTAAAGGGGGATTGAGACATCAAAATTTCTCCCTAATATGTCCGGTGTTTTCTTATACGATCGAGAAAAATACGATCATAAACAGGTCTCCCAAGGGTATCATTAACAGTTGTAATACGCAATTATAGTTGATTGTTATTACATCGCAAATAAAAGATTTGCATTTACAACTCTGTTAATCTGATGCAGCGAACACCGCAACGAAACAGATGATACCAACCGATATCAGTACCGAGTCAGTCGAAAGTATAGGACAGGGGATTTACGCGGATGGACAGGGCAGAGGGCCTTCTGGACAGGGGTAGGATGTGGAGGGTTTCTTGGTCTATGGACAGAGGGGTTTGAGACGAGTAATGCGGGCATAACAGGTCGACCTGTGGTCAACACCTTGAATGATATCAAAAGATTGAGGGAGTGACGCGACATGATAATCGGCCATGATACAGTACACCTTCTCGTGAACATCGAGTTTCGCATAAATGCATTAGACGTGTAAATGAATCATAGCTTTAAAAATGCGGTTGTGAGGGTATAAGAAAAAGTGAGGAGTTGGGAATTGGTCACGCCCACTACTCTATACGCATGTTCTGATTTTTAAAGAGACCAGCTTCTTTAATGGCGCTACGCTACAGCGCCAGAACGCATTATGAATCCCGTCATGCGTCACGACAACACTTTTACTGGAACTTCCTGTAGCACGTCCCTAATCGGGACGGGTCAAGCAATGACGGCAGAAAGTCTTAAAAACAGTATGTTTATTTGTCAAATTATAGGCCTATACTGTGAAATCAGGCATTACAAAGATGTCCTTTCTCAAACACAGCGCAGTGGTTCTTTATTTATTTACCGTAATGCGGATGTAACCGTCCAACTTTTCCATTGTTTCAAATAACAAGCTGAATTTGTTATCACAGATTTCAAAAGTCTACATCTTCTGTTTCAAAATGAAACAAATTATTGACGCATTACTTTTCCCCGTCAAACCACATGTTTTTACAGAACACGTTTAGTTACTCTGCAGTGCTAATATTACACCAAAATGTTGTAAATTAACCAGATTCTGTTAAAAAAGGAGATTTACTCGAAAATTGTAATTTGAACATCAAAACTGCTGTAAAACTCAATTACAGTGTGAATCTGGGAAACATTCTTTGTAAAATTACATGCTTTTTTAAACAGAGTATGTTTGTTACTTAATCACAGTAAATGAAGGACAGAACAAGAGAACTACCAAAAAACAATACTCTGATTGAATTACGGTGCTAGGATTCATGTCGAAAATAGAGTAATTAATACTTGCTAAATCACAAAAAAATATAATAATTACTTGTTTACTTACTATCTTAAAATACATTTTTATTTAAAGGTGAAACATCTTCATTTTAGAAAGTAGAAACCTCTCAACTATGTTTAGAAAAACTCTTAAGCACGACTCGGAAACATTTGACGTCGAACCTCAGTACGAAGAAACACGATATGTGAAACTATAACATAGTTTGAGGAATAACACAAAGAATCCGGTACAAATTATATGAAGATGTAATTCTGTTCAAGCCCCAATTTCATTTTGTTTACCATTTTGAGTCCCCATTCATTTTTCTCTTCATAACGCACCATCCGCTAGTAAAAAAAAAAGGATATAGTGCAATATAATTAGATAAGCAAAAATTCATAACGACCCATCCGCTAGTGGAGAAAAGCTATAGTGCATTAAAATGAAATAACAAATATAATTTATTCATTGTCCTAATGCGTCCTTCAGGGGGACAAAAATAAGGTTTTGCATAGATTACGCAAATGCTGATTAATCGTCGTATACTGTGGTTCACAATCTGTACACAACAGCCAACACTGACAGGGCTCGATCTTAAGAACCGAATGGAAATGCAGGCGTTAAGAAAAACACAATTATGCCGTTCGTGTGAACTTTTCGACTTGGTTTACACTCACCGTCGATTTTCTAAATAAACATCTGTTTAACTGCCGCCTTGTTTACATGTTTTAAAACACTGAGTTGTAAACAGAAATTAATCATTGCCTCTCTGTCAGTGGAATCGTATAGGTTCCAAAAAATTGTCATCATGACATCAAAGCGAAATGTTAATCTGCACATCCGTGGAATTGCTTATGGCGTATACTACAGTTGCAATTCTTTCCCACTACTAATGACATTTTTTTTACTTCGAAATATCAGCTACTGTGGAAACAACACTAAAGCGATAATTTCAACAACGCAGGTAACCTACGGTTTATCAAACCATCACACGTCATGTGTATAGTTTTTCATTACATCCTGGATGATTTTGAATGACTTCTTAAAGATGTATTCCCTGTGCTCTTTTCGAGTTTCATCCAGAAAAATAGATTGCTCTTCTAAATAACTATTTTTCTATCGATACAAAAGTTGTTCACTTTTGAATGAGACGTTGACCGAATAAAAAAAACCGCCCACGTTCAATTAGTTATTAAGTAACTTTACAAATCGAATTACATGAACTTGCACTTGCGCCCGATGATATTTCCGTTCTCGCGGGGTAGGCTGGCTTCCGCCTCACAATCAGTATCGATAGTGTACGGAGCGAGAACCAGTCTGCTCGTAAGGCGGCTCTCTTTGTGGCCAAAATAAACCCCCAAAAAACATTTTGTTGTTGTTGGAATGAAACAGATAAGTTGCAAATTTCTTAAGGGAGAGAGAGAAAAGCAATTTAATTTGTTAAAGAGCACGGATGGTACATCTTAAGGTAAATTACTTCAACGGAAAATTGTCATTGAGGTCTCGCTTTATCAATTACATACAAAATGGCATGTATAAAAGTTGTATTAAAAAAGTCATCTTCGTGCCCATTTTGAAGTGCATGTCTGCGTAAATTTACGCCAGGCGGATCTCTGTATTCAGTTGAGACGTATTGGTGGGTTTGATTACAACAACTCTGATGTTGAGAGGGTTGTCAACGCTAGTTCTATTGGTATCAACAAAAGTAGGCGCAGAAAACACAACGCGAACCCACTTCCAACAAGACCTCGCCGTTTTCTTAAAAGTCTCCCGAAACTTGGCGTTCAGGCCGCAATAAATCCATGGGTTACAGGCAGAATTTGCATACAGGAGACAGGTGGTCAGCATCTGAGTGGTGATCATGGGCGTGGACGCACTGGAGTGGATGGAAAATACGTGAGTGAAACAAAACGGGGCCCAGGTGAGACTGTAGATTCCTAGCACGAGGCTGATGGTGGTGGTGGCGCGAAATTTCTCCACCTTCTGGCCTGTGAAACCCTGGGCTATACGGATGACCAGGGCGTGGATGATACTCCGACGCTTACGGACTGCTCGGAAGATGCAGAGGTACAGGAAAACCATGGTAAAGAGGGTAGTGCAAAACACAACGAAGAAGAAAACGAGGTTGAAGGTATTCCCTTCCGGCCAGCAAACGAACTGATGTGGCGAGTACCGGTACTGACCCAGACCCAAGAAGGGCAAGACCGCCACCAAGGCGGCAAGAATCCATATCACGAGAGCGTACTTGAGAACCGTTTCCACGGAGATCAAGTACATGTGTTTGAATGGGTAGGCGATGGCCACGTAACGCTCGTAGCTCAGGGCGAAAAGGGTGAACGAAGACCCCGCGAGACACAGCACGCGGATGAACCCAACAGCCTGACAGAAACCTTCCGAGTTTGAATAATCCCTGGAGTTCTCATTGGTCGATTCGGTGCTGCCGTTGAGGGAAGTATGGACCACGTAAGGGAGAACAAACCCACCGAGTACGAGATCGGGCACCGCCAGGTTGGCCAGGAGAAGGCGGACTGGGGCTCTGAGTTGACAGGCCCGCCCAAGAACCAACAACACCAGAAAATTGCCTGCTACGGTCAAAATCAGGAAAGATGTGTTAAGAAACACAGAGACGGTGACCGCAATTTGCTGATTTTCCTGGTTTGCTTCCATGCTCAGTAGATTGCAGTGTTGCTAAATTCAACACACGACCTGTCTGTGCAGGTACTCGCTTTTAAGTCTCGATGCGTTCTGTTTTGATGGAAGATATTTTACTTCAATCCGATTACGTCAGACACTAGAGTGCATCTTACCAAGCCATCAGCTCCTTCCATAATCCTAACAAGACCTCAGTCTATTATGAAATGCCCCCACGTAGCTAGTGTCCTTTGGAAATGAAAAGATAAAAATATAAATTGGATTTGTTTTACGTCGGCGTTGTCTGTCCTTGCTACTTCGGAGTGACGCGGGGGACGTGTGCGCCCTTCCTAATCGAAAATATAAGCGGAGAAAATTCCGGCATTACCAACTGTGAAAGGATAGCAAGTCAGGTTGTTTAATTCCGTCATTCTTTTGCCGTGAAGCATTGAAAGAAAAGAGTCTGTTATGCGTTTCCTTGGACTCGAATCACCATGGTAACCGCATATTCACAATGTGTAATAAGTCTCATCATGAACACAGTAGATGAGCACGAACTGGGGAATGTTTAGAAGGACAGTTGTATAGTACAGCAGTGTGGTCATTTTATTTGATTTAACACAACATGCAGGTTCGAGCATTCTTTCTCTGTGATGATTTTGATTGTTTGTTTAATGTTGTAAAAGGGTTCGATAGTTTTATGATCCTTTATCCTTACAAAAAATGCGTCTTTGCAGTGGCCTGTGCCAAGACTTTCTAAAGAATCCGTCTTTGTGATTCGATAAAGGGGATTCAATCACTGCACAATGGTTATGGCAGTTGCCATGGCAATTTTGTAATGAATTATGATGACGTATGCGTTTTTTTAACGAGACCTCAACGGGAAAAACATGTTATCTCCCCAGGCTAGTGTATCCTTTCGAATAGCTGATCTTCGCAAGACAAACACGCGCGAATCCTGATTACAATGCCAAAGTACACTTGAACACAAGGAGATGAATTTGTTTCGATGGGAAAACATCAGTTCTTTTTTTTTTCGAAAGCGAGTGAAAAGAGTTACTTACGGTCACCTCGGGATGCTAGGAATTACTGATTGCCCTTTGAATAGCAAAATATAAGATTATGAGGAACAAATACGACAGTGTATTAGGACTTTTCATCCGAAATGACTTAGGCCCTAAGACGTTGCATTTTACGATGCATTGCAAATTCAAACATTTTCAGCTTTTAATATTCGCAGATTATATTGATGTGGTACGACAATTTAACCTTTCAAGCAAAATAACAAAGCTGGCATGACTTATTATACAGAGGAACTTTTTTTTTAGAGTGTACTTTTAATGCCCGGACAGTTTTGTGATTGACTTGCCTTGTCTATGTTCAATAGAGGGCGGCATGCATTAAAACGCGGTTCACGTAGAGCGTCATCACGGGTTAGAAATAAGCTACTTCCTTTGAATTTTGAGGAGATGGGGGAAAGGTATCGGTGTAAATCCGCGGGAGAGCGGTAGGGGTGGGAAAGATGCTTTTCCTTCACCACACTTTGGGATATGGGTGGATCCCGCACAGTTTTATTTGGTGAAAGTTTTCAAGAGTCTCTTCATTATTTCCTGGTTCGTTGCACTTTCTTTCTGAATCTGTCCTTAGTTCAGTTTCTGACGAATTTAGAGGCATCAGCTAATGCCACTTGGCATTTACTTCCTTAAGGAAGGTCATTTTGTTCCTGGGAGATTTAAAACTATTTCCGTCCGAGTGAAGTCCACTGCTAGTGTGTGTCTTGCTGGCAGATTATTGGCATCCTGAGATCCACTCAACTTCAACGGCGATTATCACGGCAACACCGAGTGGCCTTTCCATCGTACACAGGGCTGTACCGGCAGTGGTGTAATGTAAAAGCACTTTGCATTTGATAAATTGAAGGGGCCTAGGAGACGGAAATATTGCGACAATGTATCAAACGGGCTGACTTGTTTCATTAAAGTTGAGACCTAATTGACCGGGCATGTCAACAGCTGATAGGCCCACAGCTGTCGATATCACCGTTGATAAGACTTGGAGATGGGACTTTGAACCGCGTTGAAAGAAGACCGAATGCTGGGGTGATTGTTTTTTTCCAAGTCGAAGGATGTGCAGTGCGCCACCAAGCGTTTGGAGGGGCCCTTGCACTTTCGCTCGATATACCCACCGCCCTATTGAAGGCTAGGCGCTGGCGACAACTAGATCCCATTCTCAGAACCAGGGGCGGAAGAAACGGAGGGGGGGGGGGGGGGGGGGGGGGGGCTGGGGTTGGGGGGGGGGGTTGGCGAGGGGGTCGATGCCCCCACCTTTAAAGGTAGTGACCGTTGCCATGGGAATGGAATTAGGGTAACTGACTTGTAATGATAAATGTAACCACCAACAAAACATATGCACTTTTCAATTTCTTCGCTCGCACGTACCAAACGTGTTGGTGAAGGCTAGGCTACATTCTTTGAGCTCTTGTCAACACTGCCAACAACGAAAGAACGTATGCATGGACTGCACCTGAGGCAAGCTACCCACGCCACTTTGCATTTCCTTCTGTATTACATTTTATGAAAGAAAATTAAAATTATCACTTTGATAGGGGTGTCATTAAGGAGCGAAAGTCATCTATTCATTTGACCAGTAAGTAATTTTCAAATACATATCTGTGACGTACAAACTCCTTTGAGGCTTGACTGGAAACAAATGACATCAATGTATTATGTGTAACGTCACTCAAAGGGATAGCTATCAAGACAAGCAGGCCTTATGTTTATACATGGATGCCTCCTGAGGATGAACTAGGTGGCCAAATTCTACCTAACATTACCTTGCATTATTCGCTTTCCTACACTCCCCGCGAAGAAGAACCTTTTGTAGCCTGGTCACGTCTGAAACCCAGACTTAACTCGATCAGGGCTGAGGTTTTCAAACCCCGGCGATGTCACCAGATCGCCTGCACATCAGATTTCAGAATCACCCAGAAGCCTTCAATGGCCAAGTCAAATGGGAATTGTCGAAAGTGTGGCCTCATAATTTATGATTGGTATTGACGTTCCCGAAGCAGAAGATGGAACCATATTGTTTTGGAGTCTCCCGAGGAAGGGGCCTTTAAATACATGCAACTGGAGCCGGAACGAAACTGAGGTTTCCAGGGAAAAACACTCAAAACAGTTACACGCTTTTTTCGCGAAGTCGAAAATGAATGTAGGACGAGTTAAAGGACAGCTGTATAGCCAGGGGTCTAAAAATCACAAAACCTAAACAAACACTGAGCTTATAAGCCGAAGTCATTCCATGGGAAACTTTTCTCATCATAAACTAAAGTATAGGCCTAAATACTTGTTAAAGCTTTAGGGTCTCTTAGGACACTGTTGGGCCGGTCAGTAGCCAGAGTGTTTACTAGCCAGAGGCAAGACAAATTTTGAAATCAACGATACTTGACAGAAGTAGAGCTCACTTCTAATTCTAGCCCTACTTTTCAGTCAGCCAACTAACTCCCCAAAGTCAGCACGAGCTATCCAAACACGTTTTCTCCTCATCTTTGTTGTTATGAGAGTATCTTGATCCCGATCTGCGTCGTTTCTTTAGTACCACTGGTGTGCAAGAGAAAAAATGACGTCACGTCTTGCTAACAGGCAACGGGGCTTCAAATGAGCCTGGCGCGTGCTGTGATTGCTTATCATCCGTAGCAGCATTGGGCGTCCGTGGCAAGACGTGATTGACGATGATTACTCCATGGACTAGCTGGCGGGCAGGGATTGTTGTATCGGATGTGTGGTGCGAGGTGATGAAGGGAGGCAGGCGGCGCGGTACGATCAGCCGGCTGGCCGTGCTGGGAGTACACGGCACGCCGATTGCTGATCAGGGTAATCAGCTAGGCAGCCTGGCGTGACCAACGCTGATGGTTGGAAAGATGCTGCGCACCGTGACGCTTCGGTGATGTCATTAAGCGGCCATAATGGCGGACCGTTATTAGGAATTTCCCTTTACAATATTTCGTGGTATCCATAATGGTTAATAAATCGCGTCTATTATGAACGACGAAATTTACCGGATCGAGTAAACGATGGGTGTAATTGCCCAATAGTAAAACTACTCAGTAACGGCATGAGGTTTTATATGGAACTTCTTTCATGTGCTCGAAATTCAAGCCATGTTATAGTCATCACATGACAAAAAAGAACATTGGTTCGTTCGAGTATTGTGTATGCAGGCACTCGTATTCAGCAATCACAGAAATGGAGTTTTAGTTAATTGACAACTGGCTTACCGTGTTTCAAATTGCATGAAGTAACGGAACACGGTATTCATATAATTTAAGATTAATCCGCATGATGGGTGCAAAATGTTCAATGAGTATCCATTTGTCCATTGGTTATCCCTCTTCATTTTCTCTCTACATGTTTATTTGACCTCCACTGACACGCGATAAGCCACCCTGACTCTTTTGTAAGTAAAGTTGCAACAATATTGATAACATCATGTGTACTTCATGTATGTGTCTTATGTTTTGGAATCAGGTTGCTACCAACAAATTAAGACCTTACAATAAATAATGATGCATAATGATGTCAAGAAATTTGATCAATATTTAGGCTACTTTTCGAATCGGTCATACACGATGACTATTCATTGCGCCCACAGGCGTTTGCCTCAAATATGTCACTTTCCATCTCCAGGCATCGCATTCTTTTCATTTTAATCATTCATCCGTTACTGCTAACTTCTCACTTTAATACAAAAAAAAATGCATTTGAAGCCTCGTTAAGTAAAAGTCGACATTATTCGCTTTAAAAAAATCCAACTCCAATCGTACGCGTCCGAAATCTGTAAAATGTTGCTGAGGCCTTGAAGCCTATAGTGTAAAAGGAATGCTGAATTTTCCTGTGAAGCATTTCGGGAGAGTAGGAAATTCTCCTCAAATATGGTAGTCACTCGGCTTTCGCTGAAATAGTCCGGTTCTCCGACACATCCAGTCATGGGCGTCGCCAGGATTTTTTCTAGAGGGGGCAAAAATTATTTCCCCCCAAAATTCCTGTATTTCTCAACATATTTTCGATTTCTCAGTTTTAGAGGGGGCAGGGACATTTGTCCCCCCCCACTCATTAAGTTTACACCACTATGACTTCGCGCCTCTCTTTCTTTTCTTTTTTTCTCTCTTTTTTTCTCTTCTTCTTCTTTTTTTTGGTGGCTTTTCCGGGGGGGGGGGGGCAAGCGCCCCCCCTTGCCCCCCCCCCTCCCTCGCGACGCCCATGCATCCAGTGTCTTAATACTCGTAGAATGCAGGTCAGGTAGCTGTCACATTCAAAGATAGAA